AAAAGGGTAAACGATAATACTTGTACTGTTACATTCTGCAGTGATTCACCTAACCTTGCTTGGCAAATCAAGACAGAAATACAGTTTGATTTATCTTAAATATATTCTGATAAATATTCGTGTTGCATCAGTTCAAAAAAATAACATAAAAACGATTGGTTGAATCCCAGAGAGAGTGTGCAACAGACGCAAACAAAATCTTGCATACAAGCAGAACAAAGCCCAAGCTTCGGGCAGCTGCAGCAGCCAGAGGCTCCTGTGAGTCCTCAGGAAATCATCTGAACTCAGGTGGGTGTAAGGAGAGCTTCAAGTGTCACCAAAACCACTGAAATATAATGTGATGGCTGCGCTGGGCCAGCTGTCACCTAAAACACCAAACAGACTTGTTGTCTACCTTGCTGTGCTGCTGAACCATTACTGTGAAGACACTAAAATACAAATACTGTGATTTCAGGGCTCAGCTGAACCTTTAGGTTTGATACTACAGACATCAAGTGAAACACAATATTTACAATATGCTAAAATGTATTAATAAAATCAAGTTGTAAAAAATATGCAGTATGCTCTCGATTAGTGCTGAACTGGACTTATACGCTTTCACATTTTGAATTGAGAAAGCTTCCTGGACGGGACGCGATAAATCTTCAGCTTCAGAACAGAAGTCCAGTTGTTTTGTTTTTAACTATTTTTTTATTTTTATTTTTTGGATTTAGTTTGGGATATCTTCTATAGCTGTCAGCACGGGTTAAATTACAACAAATCACTTCTTGAGGGAGGTCATCTGAATTGTTCTCATGCAGTCATCAGTTATTTTCTGGAGACAGCCCGAATAAAGGGGAAGCAAATATCGGCTCCCACACGTGGTAACTTCAAATATTTTCCTCTGGAGTCTGTTCCATCTAAGCATGCAAACAGAACATGTTATGGTCTGAACAGAAATCCATCTGTCTTGAAAAGAGTCCATTGTTTTGACATTACACCACTAATCTCCGCGTCTTGTCTCTGAAACTAATCAATTGTAGTGTCTCAATACGCACAGACGACACCTGCTTCCTCTGGCTCCAACACATACATCCATGTGTGCGCTTTGTGTGTTTTACACACATACTACTCTGTTCCAGTTTACTGCTTCACCACATCATCGAAAAAAAGGAAGACAAAGTGTATTCTGTCAGTTTAAGAAAAAAAAGGTGCAGTTACTTGAAACGTGTAGCTTTATTCAGAATGCCTCTGGGGTCTAGCTGTTAATAGTGCTCTGTAAATCCTCAGAGGTGGCCATTTTCAGGAMAGAGGGACCTGGGCTGTGTCTCTAACAACATTTTTTAATGCTGACAAAAGACACCTGTGTAAGCGCATGAATGATCACATGCCGGCAGGAATGTGTGTTGATTACAGTAGCTGGTTAATGTGGTGATAAAGTCAACCTACAGCAGATTTGAGTGATTTCTTTAAAGAGATCCATCATTAGTTGTAACATTAGACTTTATTTGATAAACATATATTTTAACTGTAAAATAAAGACTGTCAAAATACTGTAGCATGTTTAGTTTTGTAAATTTTTAAAAATATA